TGCCACATCAACATATTTAATGCCTGTGAAACTTTGATAAAACCTCCATTGAGATTGGCCTAAGGATTTTTGAAATTGATGATGTAATGTTTGGCTTAGGACAAAGTTAATGTAGCATGTAAATAAAGAATACGAGGAGTACTCTCTCCATCTAGAAAGTAAATACAACTCTCACTTTCCGAGGACTCGACAATTTTAACTTTCACCATCTCTATAAAAAAACACTATATGTCAAATAAGTATCATTATGTTGATTATGAAATATATTTTTCTAGTAAATTTATTTAAAGACATAAATGATGATATTTTTAACTATATACAATGGTAAAACTTCTGAAAGTTTTATTAATCTCAAATCTAGAATTTTTTTTTGGTACGAAGAGAGTATTAGAGAAGGGCTGGGCGCTCATTGCAATGCTGAAAATTACAGCCAAGCCCGCCTAGTAAACTGGTTAGGCCAGATTATGTCAGGCTTTTGCGGACAGACCGGGCCAGACATCCTACGAGGAGACGACGCCTTTCAGGTTTCAACCCGTTCATCCTCCATGAAGAATTCGAGGACGAGGAAAAAGTCCACGTTATCTCTCTCAACTTTTCGTAGGTGTCTATTTTTTCTCTCTAAACTTTAAAACGGGGTAAAACACCTCTCTCAACTTTTAAAACCGTTAATCTTATCTTCATGTCCCTGTTATAAGCAGTTTTGAAAGTGGTTTTGTCTTTTTCTTTTTTATTTATTTTGGCTGAATCTTTGAAAAATTATTGTAAATCACAGGAAAAATTATAAAATAGAAAATTTAATTTTATTGGACTCCACATGAGTAGATTTACATAGTGAATATATAATATGGTATGCTTTAGTACAAAGTTTTTGCTGTAACTTTACATCTATGCTTTTATGTGATTAAATGGAATAATTTATAGCTGCAGTTTCTATAGTCCAAGTGTGGTGAAATTTTTATGGTGGACTAATTATTATATGCTTAAACTGCAGTAAAAATTTCATACTCATTGAATCATGTATATCTTAGTTATAGATTTTATTTAGGTTTATGCTTAAACTGCCGTAGTCACTTTCCGCATGGGATGGTCCCAAATCCCAATCCCATGGAGGAAACCTGAAGCCGCTCAGCACATCCATGTCCATAGACCATAGATGGATGAAAGCTTCATTCTCTGTCCTGCACAAAAGCTCACCCGCTTGTGTCACCACCCTTGGCAAGTCAGAACGGAGTGCCTCCTCCATTGGGCGCTTTTTCTCGCCATGCCAATCTGGTATGGCGCTCCCTTTCTCGCAAAGGCAGATCGCAGAGTTGGAAGGAGGCACGGGGGTTTGCTGGTTTCATTGGATATATGAGTCATCGGTACGAGCCGAATGTCGTCTGCTACTCTGCTAAGACACATAGACATTCAGACTGGTAGTTGCAAAAGCGGTGTACATCCACTCTTTGCTGATATGTCGCGAGGACTTTTGCAGGAAATCCATTCAGAATTGTCACGGATTTTTACATGAGTCCATGTCTAGAATCTAGATCCACGATTAGGCATACCCAACGAGTTGGAAAAGACGTGAGAGTCAGCCTAGGACATGTCTGAGTCAAAAATGGTCGCAACTGTGCCCTCTTTTTTCGTCATCGTTAAAGGGCACTTCCATCTCCATCAAAAGGTTACCTCCACGCGTATTTTCTGTGTCATCTTGCGACTAAGGGCATCCCGAGTGCCGGAACAAGGTCCTACCTCCTAAGCTATGAGCGTGTTCGGAACATCCGCAGCTGCAGCGACAAGAAGCTAAAGCAAACGAACCCATATAGTGTCGACCTTAATAAATAAATAAATAAATGTTGATTTATGCATTGGTTGCAACAGTTAACAAGCTAGATCACGAGCCAAATGAGCTGACTTGCAAGCTAAACGAGTCGAACAGAGCTTGGGTTTTAGCTCTTTTATGTAACGAGCCGAGCTGAGCTAGCTCGTTATCCTAAGTTCCTAACGAGTTATAACAAGACGAGACATAACGAGCCGAGCTGGCTCTTTATCTGGCCCTACATTGGACCTATAAGGGCACTCTTAATAGAAAATTCATGAAAGATTTATAGGCATTAAATAAGCTAACAACTTATCAAATATGAAACCATGACACAATATAATTCAAGAGAGAAATGATCAAAAAAAATTATATGGGATGAAACTAGTCACACTATTTCCAACACATGATAGTCTTAGAAACTAGGACATAAAACCTCCATTGAGACTATCCTAACGTCATGTGCACTCTTCAGTTCCTGCCGCAACTCTTGGACAACATTATCGCAAGAGGGAGTACTAGGGCAATGCCATCGCAGAGCCCAGCCAAAGCGCTCCGTGTGGAGACAACGCAACGGTCACCAACGTCGGTGGAGGAGGATCTGTCATCTGTGGCCGTACGCATTGATCGTTGAACATCGACTTGAGAGCAATGGATTTCGTAGCGGCGGTAGCGATGGGGAAGAAAAGGAGAGGAGAACATGAGTCTGTTGTCGTCCGGGTGATGGGACCTAACTAAAAGTCTGCAAGTGACCTTATACACACACCCTTGGTCCCAGAAATAAACGTACGTCTAACTCCTTTAAAAGTCAAACTTTACATCTGACTAAACTTATAGAAACTAATATTGATATTTGTATCTCTAAATAAATTTGTCATAAAAGTACATTTCATGTTGAAATCTAATAACACTTGTTATTCATCATCGATATTAATATTCTTTATTTATGTTCAAACTTTAACAGGTTTAGTTCCTTGAATCTAATATGTGTGTTTATTTTGGGAAAGAGTACTCCGATGGACGCTATATTGGGATGCCCTAAGACATGTCTGTGTTGTTAAGGATTCTTACTAAAATGTAGTAACCCATGTTATCTATTCCGAAAATTTGTGTGTTAGAATTCTATTTTATTTGGATTGAATTATGAGATTCCAATACTTTTCTATTGGATTCTTGAAATCCGCTAAGATCAAAGGTGCCTAGCATCTTCTGAACCTTCTTTCCGTTCGGTGCAAACAAAACATGTGCGCGGGGTGCGTCGGGTGTGTCAGTCTTGGCTGGAGCCACGTGGGCTCTCATCTTTTTCTGGTGGAGAAAAGACCGCAAACCTGTGTACCAAATCGTGGAAAAGAAGAACTTACTCGTAGAAACTAGTAAAAGATGTGCGAATGTCATAATCTGTCTATCCAAAATCCCAAATACCTGAATTGGGTTTCCACACTTTTTGGGCCTGGTAGGCCAGCAACTTGGTTGGCTTTGCTTCTTTGGTTTGCGCGCTGCTGGTCTTTGCCGTTGCATTGTTCAGAAAACGCGCGGCTCGCTTTTTGACGGTTTGGCAGCAGTGCAAGTCCCGTCGCGTTAACAGCGTTGTTTATCATGCCTGGTAGGGCAGCAACTTTGTGCCGCTTGATGGCTTGCGCGCTGCTGTACTGCCGTTGCCCTGTTTAGAGCCGCGCGGCCTTTTGACGGTTTGGCAGCAGTGCATGTCCCGTCGCGTTAAGGGCATGTTTGGATGCTGCCTCCCAGGCAGCTCAGACGCAAGGCAGCGTCCTCAGACGTTCGATTTCGATCGCCTGGGGCTGCGATCGCTTGCCTGATAGGCAAGCCCAGACGAGGGCGGCATCCAAACACGCCCTAAAAGCGTACTACTCCTACTGCATGCATGCAGCATGCAACCTGCACAAAAAAAAAAAATCGGATAAGATTATATGTCAGCATGTGCATGCGTGTGGCCGTCTCTCGTCCGGTCCATGATCCTGCTTTCGGAGTGCCGGGATCCGGCCTGGCCCGGGCCATGCTTACACTATGATTGATCCCGCGCGGCCATCAGCCCATGTGGGAAAGGGAACTGCATCTTGGCTCTCCTCAGCTCCTCGACTAGCTGTTGTGCTCCCCTCATGCAACGGGCAATTCCGGGCATGTGCTCGCTTGCCAACAACAGATTCGCACAAATGTTTGCGTCGGCCACCCTGGCCGTCCTTGATTATTCCAAGCGTGAATCTTATATCAAACATGATGCCGTACTCCACCTCTGTTATTCATTCCCGCGGAAATAACTGCCCCGCCCGCCGTCGTTTGCCGTGCCTTGCGAGGAAGGAGAAAGAAACGGCGCCGGTATTTTTTTTCCAGCTCCTATCGATTCCACTAGTGAAGATTTCCCGTGGACGATGGGAAAATCTCAAAATCCAGATCGGTGAAACAAGCAAGCACACCACGTAACCAAAAACCGCACGGGCACAGCTTCGTCCTCGCGGACTTTTCTTTCCCCGTTTCTTCCCGCGTCAATAACCCCTCCGCCCACCTAGCTCATGCCCATCATTACCCGTCCGACCCTCTATAAAATGGAGTACCGGACGAGGAGGTAATACCAGCTCCGATCGGTCGCTCACCGGAGTCGAGATATTTTGAGGCCATCGCGGACCACCGTCACGCTGCGCACAGAGCCCGGAGCGAAGCGTGGCGGGACTGGTTAGGAAAAATTTTAGGGAGGGCCGAACAACAGTGCGACAACGTCATACCTTCGACTGTTGTTCGATCTTAAGTCGAGGGAGGGCCCCACCTATATCGGGCCTCTCTTTGCTTAAAAATTGAGAGTTCACTGGGGTCCATTTTTTTCGGTAGGGGCGTGAGCCCCCCTGTTGAATCCGCCACTGTAAGTCGGCGAGGCGAGCTAGGCCCGCTGCCAACTTTGGCTGGGAAGCTGACATTAGGGCCCCAATGATCGATGGTCCAGGACGGGTAGGTACAGCTTCCCCTTCGCTTCATCTATTGGGTTGCGCTGAGAGCCTAAGCCCTGGCTGAAACCAACGAGCGAACATGCTCTATAGCTCAAGTTGCCGTCAAAGATCGGTCGTCCCCCCTCCCATCCCGTTGCGGCTCATTACCATTACAAGAAAGGCAGCGGAAGTCGGCAGAGTGAGCCAGAGATCTTGGAGGCAAGGCCTTGTGCGTGCCACATTACACACTGTGAAAGATCGAGATGGCGCGGTGCCCAGCTCAGGTCGCTCTCTGCTCACTTGCTCTGCTCCTCCTGCTTCCAGGTGAGTCCTCTCTGCTCTGTTTCCTTCCCGTTCGTTGGCATTGAGCGAGCAATGCATGCAGTTCCGTGATCCCGTGCTGAACTGACCTCTGATATGATCTCCCGGCGGCTTGCAGCTGCGCGGTCGGCGACGTTCACGATGACCAACAACTGCGGCTACACGGTGTGGCCGGGGCTGCTGTCCGGCGCCGGCACGGCTCCGCTCTCCACGACGGGGTTCGCGCTGGCGCTCGGCGCGTCGGCGACTGTGGACGCCACCACCGGCAAGTTCACCTGCGCCACGGGCGACTGCGGCTCGGGCAGTGTCCAGTGCAACGGCGGTGGCGCTGCTCCGCCCGCCACGCTGGCGGAGTTCACGCTTGATGGCTCCGGCGGCCTGGACTTCTTCGACGTCAGCCTTGTGGACGGCTACAACATCCCCATGCTCATCGTTCCGCAGGGCGCGGGCGGCGGCGGCGGCAATGAGTCTGCTGACTCCGGCAAGTGCATGGCCACCGGCTGCCTCGTGGATCTCAACGGCGCGTGTCCAGCTGATCTGAGGGTTATGGCTGCATCGACGACGTCCGGCGGCGGCGGGGCCGTGGCGTGCCGCAGCGCGTGCGAGGCGTTCGGGACGCCGCAGTACTGCTGCAGCGGCGCTTATGGGAATCCCAACACGTGCCGGCCGTCGACGTACTCGCAGTTCTTCAAGAACGCGTGCCCGCGCGCCTACAGCTACGCCTACGACGACTCCACCTCCACGTTCACTTGCGCCACCGGCATCAGCTACGCCATCACCTTCTGCCCGAGCATCACCAGGTAAACCCTTTCCCAAAGTGAAGGTTTCCCTTATTCAAGTTTCACCACGTTTAAGCAAGCTCCAAAGGTGACTGTTCACCCAAAATGGCGCGTAATGCACGATCGAACTGTTTAGATGACGAGGCCTTGATGTTGATAGTGACCAATCTACGTACGCAGAAGTCTTTGTCTTGGCACGGACGATACGTGAAGGTTTTCGTTTAATTAGCAATCTTACCTTTGAGTTGTTGATTGAAATCGGTTTCTTGTTGAATTCAACAAGAGTACAAGACGACGGTTGGGACTTGATAGGGCCGGTAGGAAATCAGCCTCACACACGAATAGAACGCCTATTTCGGATGGGAAATTGGCTTGCTTGAGAGCTGAGACACCACACTGGCCCGGGCAATTAACAGTTGACACACTGTCACAGTCCACACCACTAATGTGATTGTTTACACAAAAATCTCGAGAGAAGAAAGCGGAAACTCAAAGCTTCTAACATTGTATCACCAAGGAATCGATTGGATGTGAATCGATATCGGCTGGTTTTAATGCAGTGTCGGAATCGGCTATTTTACAGATGACATCAGCAAACGACGTCAATGGACTACGTACGGATGACGTCGGGGAAAAATATGTCGGACTCTAAAAATAGGAAACAATTAAAGTCTAAATTATTTTTAAGTTAGGAATATTTTCTTTTGTTCCAAGAATTGTAATGAGTCGTATTTGAGTAGGATTCATGTTTAGATTCCGGATATAAATATTGGACCCCAGTTATTGTAAATGGACGAATCACTAACCAATATAATTATTTTTTTCGGCTTCACGCCAATCATTAGGAGTAGGAGTACTATAGATCCGACGAGTTCTTCAACAAGCATGGCTGCATCGACTGATCAACGTCTGACTTGTCTGTGAGTACCGTCACGACTTATATTATGCTTGTAAAGCTGCATCAGCTGATTGATCTTTTACGAGTATAGTATAAGTTAGTTATCGATCTGTATCATTATTCGTAAGGCTACATTAGCTGATTGATCTCTTACGGATCATAATATAGATCAAAGTTATCGATCTTGTGTTAAATAACTTGTTGTTTAATATAATATCACCGGTTATCGAATCTTCTAAGATTAGTAAGATTTTTCTTGTTGTTCTTTGTTGATTCACCAGTTATCGATCTTGTTATCATTAATGTTTCATTAATCATAACAAATCATCTGATTGAGATAGAGATAGATCCGCATCATATCATCATAATTGGTCGTTTTCTAGTCTGGTCACACTTTGAATCTCATAATTGATGGCTTAATTATGCTAGATCGGTTGTTTTACCTCTATTCTAATCAAGCATAGTATGCATTTAAAGACATATTTTCGATCTTGGGTGAACTCACTAGTTAATGAGATCAAATCTAATGACACCACCATAGTTGCTTCGATCCGATCGAACCTCACTGGTAAGACTTTAGATTAAAGATTATCGATTAGCGGTTTTGTTCGTGATCGAGATATGTACTCTGTTTGTTTGCTATGCATGTATCGACTATTTTAGCCGATTCGTCTGTGCCTTCACATATATAGCATGTTTTTTCATGAACCTGTCAATATATAGATGGTTTTATAGATTCTTGGGCTTTAGTTTGTTATCATTATCATAGCTGTATCGATTCGGTCGAACCTCACTATTGATGGTAACAGATTAGATTCAGAGCGTTAGTAAATTCATTTATACTAAACAGTCGATTTGTTCGCATGTTATATCTTTCCTCGTTAAACTTATCGGCTTAATGCTTTACACTAGTTATATCCATCTAGCCGATGATGTTACTTATATCTAGGTGCATTGTATTTATTATCATAAATCAATCATGACCCACGAACATCACAGTCCTTAACAGTCGATTTCTCCTCGTATCGGCTATTTAGTCGATTCTTCTGTTTGTCTGCTCTTGAAGCAGCACACTTGGAACTGTCTGGGCAAAACTGGCATGTTCCACCCTAAACTACTGATAAAACCTCTCCTTGTCAATTGCAGGTAAAAGTGACTGGCACGCCTTTCGGGATTTTTAGGATCGACTGGTCCTGTTGTGAAGCCAAGCAAGATCTACGGGTTGACCTCACTCAAATCGTTCCGGCTTGCTGTGTGTCAGGTGCATCGCCACATTTTTACGTCAACACACGTTTTGGCATGTCCAGTGGAACCACAATCGTCATAGTAGCCCACAACAACAGGGACATTCTTATAGTGTCGTATGAAGACTTACCTGATGAGGATAAAGATGTCATTGGTAAAGCTATAGAAGAGTTTCAGAATAAGTGTTTGTTGTCCTACACCAAGACACGTGACAATAAAGTTGTTCAGAAATATCCACTACTAAGAGTTTGGATACATGGGCAGTCAGATACAGATAAAGCCAATGATAGACGTTTCTTTGTAGATGGTGTCAACAAATTTGTTCATGATGCCATGTTGAATCATAATATAGCTTTCTTGAACACATTCCACAACACCATAAAGGAGGTGTTTTATGGATATCCAATTGATCAGATTGGACCGGCTTATTACAATATTTCACATCCGTCGACTCAAGGGACTAATTAAACCGGTACTGGTCATCAAGAAGTAGCACTAGCTGGCAATGATGATGTCCAGGCAGTTCATAGCTCATCTGAGCATGTACAACAGCCGACATGGCAAGTTCAGAATCAAATGGTTAATTTTAGCACATCATGCCAAATACCGTTGTTGGCTCAAAAAATAGCACCATCAGTTCAAATGATTCGTAGAGATATAGATCCTAAGACTGTCTCCAACGGTGCGGACGCAAAAACAACAGGCATTCGATGTTTCGGGTCGCCCACAGCTAAAGGTTACGGACCTAAAAAATCCACTTCTCCAACGAGCGACGCAAACGCGAAGCGAGCGCCGCCCGCCTCACTGCATCGGGCCGCTCCTCGCCGGCCGCGCGCGCGCCGCCGTGGACTCTCCTCGCACGACCTGGAGCTGGCGACTCCTCCCGCTTTGTCCTCGCTGTTAAAAGCCCAAGCCGTCGGCGTTCTTCCTCTTTTCCCCTTCCTGTTCGCCACCGGCCGACTCAACCCGCCGGTGAAATTCACCGCCGCCGCTGCACCTCCGCCTGATAGCTTGTGCCTGTAGCTTCGTCTCGCCCCTACGCCCACCGTGCGTGTGCTCCCCTCCCTGGCCCACACGCTCGTGCTCTCCCCGCCCCTCGCGCTGCTCTTCTCCGGCGGCTCCGGCTGTTCCGCCTCGATGGCTGGGCTCGCGGCCGTCCCGGCGCCGCCGCCGACGCCGAGGAGGACGTAGGGCCCGCGCTCGCGGAAGGGAGGTGGAGCGCGAGGAGGCGGCGATGGCATTGCAGGCGTGGAGGAGCGCGACGCCGGCGTCGAGGTTGCGGATCTCGGGCTCCGGTCGTCCGCTTCCTGTGGTGGGCCCTGCGTGGAGACGCAGAAGGAGCGAGCGAAGACGCATTTTTGGGTTCTGCCTCAGCTCCGACGCAAAATGGGTCATCGGTTTGCCTCCTCCATTTGAGCGCGTTTTGTCCCACAAAAACACTATATACAACGCATTTTTAGGTTTGGGTCACGTTATGTGTCTGCTGTTGGAGTCAGTTTAACATTTACAATCAGAGACTTCAAGCAGTAAGTCAGCAAAGGACTCAATAGACAGAGATGCCACAAGGATATTATTATGGCACGGATTATAATACCCTTCATATGATTCCAAATCCAGGGTATCAAGGTACCTAAAATTTTAATCCACAGATGGGTCAGCAATTGTAAGGAAATCCAAATTCGAATGCTGATGAGTTGTTGCTCAGAGTAATTGAAATGATGAAGAATCAGTTCGGTTTAAAACCAAAAGGGCAGACCTTTTCGTATAAACATCTATATCCAGAATGATATGATTTGGTTGCTCTTTCTATAAATTACAGGCTTCTGGAATTTGCTAAGTTCACTGGTCAAGATAGTACAAGTATAATAGAATATGTCAGTCGGTATCTTACTCAATTGGGTGAAGCATCCATTGAAGAAGCTCATCGACTTCGTTTCTTCTCTTTATCCCTATCAGGACCAGCTTTCACCTGGCTTTTATCGTTACCAGTTAATTCTATTGTCAATTAGACTAACCTAGAGAAGAAATTTCATAGATATTTCTATACTGGGACAAGAGAAAAGAAAAATCACAGATTTGATGACCATAAGGCAAAGAAATAATAAATCGGGTGTTGAGTTTCTTCAGAGGTTTCGATAAACAAGAAATTTGTGCTTTTCATTGAATCTGACTGATGATCAGCTAGCTGCTTTGGCTGTTTAAGGAATATTGCTAACATGGAGAGAAAAAATGCCTAGGCAAGAGTTTGATAATTTAGATCAGTTGACTCAACGGGCGGCAGCACTTAATAGCCAATTCCAGAATATGCACAGAAATACCCGATTCCAGAATAATCCTACAATTGCTGAAGCTTATAATCAATATTTAGTTGATGATGATGGTGAGGATGATGAAGAAGAGGAGATTGCTACGGCTGAATGGAATTGGGGTAAGAAGATGGTGATGGTTCCAAATCCTTGGGGAAAAGGAGTTGAAGAAAGTTATGATTTTAACGTTACAAAATCCGACAAGCTCTTTGATTTCTTACTTGAAAAGGGACAGATTAAATTGTCCGCCAATCATGTCATATTACCCCCTGATTAGTTGAAGAATAAGAAGTTCTGTAAATTTCATAACACTACTTCTTATTCTACTAATGAGTGCAGAATTTTCTGACAATATATACAGAGGGCTATTCAGCAAGGGAAGCTTAAATTTGATACACCTCGAAAGATGAAAGTTAATGATAATCCTTTTCCAAAAGATCAAAATATGGTTGATGCTAAGTTGCTCAAAGGGAAGACTAAAGTTCTAACATCAACTAGGGCAAAAGAAACTAGAACAGTTGATCCAGAGATGTAACTATCGGCTGATGAAAATAAAGAAATTAAAAGGCGTCAGAC